CTCCATGCGCCCACACGTGATGAGAACTTCGGCTTTCTGCCGACAGGCATTCACATTGTGATTCTGATTCTGATTCAGATTCTGATTCAGATTCAAGATTCACTTTGGGTCGAAAGTCAGGATATCTGCGACAGTGCAGAATGACCATGCACAAGCAAACAATCATCACATTCATCACGCAGCTTCAAGTCTGTGTATCTCATGGTAGCACGCGGCCTGTGAGCCATCTGTTGGGTGGAAGATGCAAGAGTAGACGCGCAGGAAAACTCCGCATCAGATGCACTATCCAAGCTCAGGCGCCCGTCTCTGAAGCGACCTGACGTTCCTTGGTGTCCTTTCCGCGCAGCTTGAGCGAGTAACGTCTGACACGGTCCTTGACGCCCTGTTTAGCCCAAGCACCAGTCCTGACGGGTGCGTATCCGTACGCTCCTCGGTGTCTGGCATGCAGAGCATCCGTCTTGGCTCTGTCGATAGCCTTCTGCTCCTTGCGGTCGATGACTCCATCATCGTCGGCGTGCGCGTTCTTCTCGGCAGTCTCTGGCATGCCTACCAAGCGCTCGTACACTTCTTGCTCGTGGCGACGCACTTGTCCTTTCGCAACAGCAGCGTGATTTCCGTCCAGGCCCGGATCGACGCGAATCTTCACCTTCAGCTTGCCGATTTCTTGCGCCTTGTGAGTTTCGAGCGTCCAGTCATCGATGTGATTGCGAGCAAGGGTACCAAGCTTGTCGCCAGCGAGCAGGGGAATATCAAGCTCGTAGATCTCCTCGTCTTCGAGGTCTAGCAAAGAGACCACAGCGACAGCGTCCACTTTGCCTCCGAAAGGGCCGAGCTTGATGCCTCCGCCGAAGCTAAAGGCAAGGGTCGACGCGTGTCTGTCGTAGACGGGCAAGCGAGCCAATGCGCCGTTCTCCGCCTCGTCATCTCCGATAGACAAGCCTTCTTGCTTGCGAATGGCGCTGAGCTTCTGTGTGACGTCACCGGTAGTGACAGAGATCTTTTGATTACGCAATGACTCGTGCTCCTCGTCCACGTCGATGGAGATGGCGCTCAGAAGCTCGACGGTCGCGGTGTCAGCACCAAGCAGCGAGACAGGAATGTCCTCCTTGAGCTTGATGGAGCGCCAGATCAGTGTGGCCTGAATTTTGCCGTATCCGATGCCGTCAGAGATTGCAAAGTAGCGCTGCACTGAGGACTCATTCTCGAATACTTCCTTGAGGTTGATCTGCGCAATGCCCATGATAGGGTCGAGCTCGCGCGTGCGGGCGTCGCGCACGATGAGGCGCACCTCCGATTTCGTCCAGTCGCGCACAACATTCTCCGTCTTGGCCTCAAAGATGGGCATGTTCGTCGCCATCTTGGTGCGGGTCTTGTAGACGATGGAATCATCAATGGCGAGCTCGATGTATCCTGAGGGCAGCCTGAGCTCAAGGTCCTTCTCCTCGACATCCTGACCGCTAGCGCCAGACTCGCGTGCCTTGCCGCTGACACCCTTCTCCACCTCGCGTTCTTCGAGACCGACAATGTGATGGACAACGATTTGAAGTACGCCAGTCGGATACTCAGGGCTAGGAGGAGTATTGAGCGCGGTGAGCTCGGTGTCTTCGACAGCTTTGCCCTCCTTCTTCGCCTTCTCCTGTGCAGCCTTGACTTCAGCCTCCTTCGCCTTCTTCTCGACTTCAGTCATCTTTTCCTTGCGGCGAGCCTCAGCCTGTTCGAAGAGCAGACGATCAAACTCCTTCTTCTCGAACCAACCTCCACGCCACTTGAGAGAGCCCTGCATCTTGTCAGCTTCCTCGAAGCCCTTGAGGGGGTCTTCGTAGTCGACCATGCGATTCTTCGTTTCTCCTTTGGTAAGGCCTCGCACGTCGCGAGAGATGCGGCCAACGATGTCGTCAGCTGTGCGCTGGTCTGAGTCCCACAGCTGGATAGAAAGGACCTCGTTGTTACGTAGATCATCCAAGGTGACAGGAACAAATGCATACTCGTTGAAGTTCGGGTTCAAGTCCTCGAAGATGATTCGAGAAGAGTATAGAGGCTTGCCGAACTTGGCGAGCGAGACGATGACGTACGGGTCGCTTGATCCACTGGCGTCTTGTGCGCTGAGGTCAACGCCACGCTGAATGTGCACGACAAGCACTCCCACTGCATCGACGTCAGAGTTTGCCGGCGCGCCTGCCAGCATGTCTCCTACATTCATGGTGAGGCTCTTAGGCGCGCAGTATTCTGCGCAGGCAGCTGCGATAGCCGACTTGACGAAACCCGAAACCATGGGTAGATCTGAGGAGAAAGACAAAGTGAAGGATAAGCACGCGGTGGTATCGGAACAGTCTTATTCTATGACGTACCCAAGACATTAGGAAGCGCTCTGCTGCCCGGAACCACATTGACAGCGACGTCTGGCACGCCCATGAGGGAAATTGTGACGTTGCTATGAACGGTCGACGATTGGTTCAGAGAGTGTCAGCGGCCTTCATCTTTGACTTTGACATTGCTTCTCATGGACGCACCGAACGAAGGGCGCAGCAGCCACGAATTGCACTCGCAAGCGCACCACACCACTGAGACCTGTCACTTCAGCCCAGACGTTGAAAGGAAAGCGGAACAAGTCTAGCGGACGAGAAGACGACCGTCAGACAGCGTTCGCACCTCATCGCGCGCAAGCCAAACTCACTCAGCGCTCCCAAGAAGAAGGAGATCTGAAGACTTGCAGCCTTAGCCTTTTGATCAGGTCGCTTCATGAGGACGAAGCCGACCTCGAGGTTGAGGAAGTCGCCCGACTGAGTCATTCGAGGCAATGCCATATCAGCAAAGCTTGAACCATTCTTGATGCCCTTCTTGGCTTGACTCACCTCGTCTTCATCAGCAATGCCATCGCCATCAGCGTCATTCTCGACAGGCTTGGGCTTCTCTCCAGATTTATCGTCAGCGGAGGGGCTAGGCTTCTTTCCTTGGTCAATCCACTCTTCGCGGGGGTACTCGCGGTCGCCCTGCTTATCAGCGAGAGCCCTGAAGTGGGTGAAGCGCAGGGCGGAGTCGGCATCTCCGTGCGTAAGATCGCTAATCTTGACAGCCTCAATGAACCCGGGCAGACTCTGTCGGAAGCAAAGCGTTCCAATTAAGCCACCTAGTTTCGTTGTGCTCAAGCAGCAACGCACGAGATTAACTTACAGCTTGCATAACGTCCTCGATAGTATCAGCCAGCGTTGCAAAGATGGCTGGATCGATCTGTTTCCACACTGTTGCAATGACTGCATTGATCCACTCTACACCCTCAGGAAGGCAAGGCTCTTTAGGAGAGAATCCCTGACCACGCTGTGTGGCCATCTGAGCTCGAACCTGCTTGAGATCCGTCTCGATCTTGTTTGCGGCGAGACCGAGCACAGCTCCACCGCCCAGACCGACACCTCCAATGAGGATCGAACGGACAAAGAACCTCCAGTAACCTGCTCCAAAGGCAGTCATGAACCACACGACGGACCTGAGAAGAAGACGAAAGAGTGAGGCCCGCTTTTTGTGATCGCCAGGTCATACCGCGCTGTACTCACATCGCCACTCCAAGTGCGATGCCCAAATTCCTAAAGTTGCCTCGCAGCTTGGCCAGCCCTTCGGAGTCGAGAGGGGCCGGGAAAGGCTGAAGCAGCACATTGGTAGGCGGGGCACCGATTGGAGCTGTCAGAAGGGTACAGTAGGCATCTGCACTAGTAGGCAGACGCCCGCTAAAGCTGTTGGCCTTTGCAGATGGCTTCTTAGATTCGAGCTGATCGGGATGCAGATTGAACGGCTTTTGATCTTCAATCTCCACATCAGCGCCAGTAGTTGGGTCTTTGACCCGTCTGAAGGAGTCAAGAGGGCGCTTAGATCACAAGTGGACGCATACACAGCAACCCTCTTCAGCCGCTGCGGTAAGGAGCTGCTTCTGCACTCACCTTTTGCCCTTGGCAACGAAGTCAGTGGGCTTCTCCTGAGGAGGCTGAGCAGCGCGCTTTAAACGCTCCTTCTCATCAGCACCTCCACCAGAACCGGATCCAGCTGCTCCCTTGTCGACGGCAGGGTCATTCTCTGGGGTACTCTTCTCCTCCTTTACAGGCACAGGAGGGGGCACTTGCTTGGAGGGAGCAGCTTCCTCAGCAGCGCTTTGAGCGGTTTGAGTAGCGTTGGCTGCCGCTGCTCTTTCTCTAGCTTCCTCTTCTTGACGGAAGCGCTCGATGGTGGGCACTGGGTTACGCTGGCTGTAGCCCTCCCCTACGTGATGCTGAGTAGTCATGATGTGGACCGGACGGTAACAGAAGGTGTGATCAAGGACAAGAGTTGCACCTATCTACCTATCTGCCGAGGGGACTGCAAAGTGAATTTCGGCGACGAACCCAAGCGCACCAGAAAGTTGATGCACTGCACTGATGGTGGTGGTGGTGGTGGTGGTCAGCTAAAGACCCTAGCGCGATGCCGTTCCCGAAAAGAAGGATGGCGAGAGGGACCGGAGGACATGGATCGATATAGCGCTGTTGTCCTTTGAGGCATCTAGCCGGCCTTACAAAGCACACATGGGAATGACGATGGCCCACTTCGGCTAGAATGTAGCGAGTTACACTCCGACGTTTCAGCGCATCCCTCTCTACAGTTAGTACGTACATCAAGCTGTGACGAGGTGCTTTGCGACCGCTTGGTTGCGAATACCGGCACTTCTTCCCGCATCCGCTCAATCGCGGCAATCCGGCCATCACAGCCCACGGCGAGGGTCTGCTGCATGGAGAGAGCCAAGCGTGGGACAAGCGGTCCAGACCGCATGCAAGCCACCCTTGCCTGTACAGTAT